CTACACATACAGTGTGTAAAGTCACACTTGCTTCACTCACATGGGATCTCTCACTTTGTAATGAAAACACATTCTCTCCTCTTTGTTCCTCCTCTCCACTCCTCTTCTCCTTTCTTTTTCATTCCTTCTCTCTTCCCTCCTTTATGTAATTTCATCCGAATCGATGTGCTGCTCCAGCAGCTCCTTCAGGCCTGACGTCTGACTGATTGCTCCACACAAAAACCTGCAGCTAAATAAAATAACAGGGCAGCCTAAATGAAGTTTATGCACCTTGATAAGAGCTCTATTAAGTCATTGTGAAATAGGCTCGAATGTAGCTTTAGCCATTACATCAGCTAGACATAGCAATGCTACACACACACACACACACACACACACACACACACACACACACACACACACACACACACACACACTTTTAAATGAATCTCATGCACTGAGCTGTGGAATTATGTTTGAAGGTAGATTATTCACGGAGAATCGACTACAATTTCACGGTTTTCTGGAAATAATTAGCGTGACATTTATTCAGGCTTTATAATTGGTTAAGATTCCAGACCCTCACCTCTAATAAAGTTGTCATTGAACCTTTAATGCTACTCGCTCCCATGACAGCAAGGGAATATTGCAGCCTGGTGCAAGGGGGTCAAATCACTTGGAAGAGGACAATGTAGTTAGGCCTGTGGTGCATTTGTGTTAGGGTGGACCATATTTTACTTAAGCAGTCACCCCACAGACTCACCCATTCTCTCTAATGTAACGTGCTCCACCTGTAGAACGATGAGGAAATTTCTCGAAATATTACCAATTATTTTGTTCTTACACAAACCTCACGATGGTTTGCGTAACCTGGGTGATCATCTCCTCGATGGGAGCTCTCCAGTGACTTGAGCGCTGCTTCAAAGTCTTAGATATCCTGCACCTAAAAATGTTTAGCTTTCTTTTCTTTCATTACTTTTTTTTCCAAATTTTTATTTTTCCTTGGTTGAGGTGAACAAAACAGAACTTGGAAATCCTTCCTTGTTTTAAAGCTGCGCATTTGTGGATTGCTGAGAAAGCTGGAGTTTTGTTTCGTTTCATTTCATGTGCGTGACTAGAAATTGGGGAAAATTTTGGATCAGACTATTATTTTGCCTTTACAAGAAAGTAGTGAGACCTGCTGTGATGTATGGTTTGGAGACTATTGTACTGACAGAAAGACAGGAGGTGGTGGAGTTGAAGAAGCTAAAGATTTTCAGTGGGATTGACCAGGAGGGACGGGATTAAAAATGAGTACATGGTTGAGTCGTTCAGAGACAAAGTTAGTTTGAAAGGCAGGGCCCAGATGCTTTGGACATGTACAAAGGGGTTTGTTGATGTATCGGACAAAAGATGTTGAAGATGGAGCTGCTAGACGGGAGGAACAGAGGATTGGTGTGACAGAGGAGGATGTTGGGGATAGGGTGAGAGGAGGCAGAATTTATGGAACTTATGGTCAGGTTTATTTGAACCGCATTTATTTTTCATAATCTTATGCTACTTTCATGGACACAGTCAGGTGCCATGTCACTAAGGAGGGGGAGATTTTTTTAATTTTTTAATTCTTAGGACTAACATTAGATCAAACAACTACGAAATAAAAGCATCAGCTGAAATATGTGTCTAGGACTTTGAAGTCATTAAAACCAGTTCTGCTGTCCTCCTCTCTCTTTCCCATTTTTTCTAGTCTTTCTCCACATTTTGCTTTTCAGCCCATCCCTTTTTTTTTCTCACCTCTAATTAACTTGCTGCTATTATTATTATTTTTTCATTTGTTTTTAACACTACCGGTCTCCTTCACCCCAATTTCCTCTTCCTTGTTCTTTTGAAAAAAAGTGCATAGTGTTTTTGTGCACTAAAATACCAGTTGCTCTTGCACTCATGTTTTGGCAACATACAGATCACACTTACTCATCTTACGAAATGTTAAGCTGATTTCTGATATGACTATTGTTGTTCACGTCAGGTGAGCTTCCAGCGTGGGTTTTGTCTCCTGTTTCTCAGCCTGAGATGGAAAATGTCAAGAAATGTTGTCAAATCCTGTTTGATGCTGCAGAAATGAAAATTAGACATCACAAATACTCGCCTGACATGAAATTGCAGAAAGTTTTTCAGTTCTTGAATTTCTTTCATTGAAACCTTCCATCTTTTACTCCAAACGGTAAACAAGAAACCCATTTTTCAAACGACATTCATGGAATGATTGACTTTTCCGGGAAAATAATCAAATGATATCCTCTAAGCAATTTCATCTGTGTTTAAAAACCAAGTGGCTCAGGCCAAATAAAAACCTCACTGAGCATATGGTACATCATAATATAGAAAAATAATTTCAGGGCATGAGGCGACTGTAAAAGTTTATGGTTTGATGATAAAGTTAATGTATTTTGCATTCTTGAAAAAATAAACAAAGGTCAGTAAGAGAATTTAGATACTGCGTACAGTAACTACAGCTGTTCTCTGTGGAGTCGATATTTGCATACTGCAAATATTGTGTACTTCAAAAAGCCAAAGGCCAAAACTGGAGTGTTGCTGAAAGCATCACACAGCACAATGTAACCTAAAAATCAAAGTCAACAAGTGAGTCATGTCGGCACAACATCTTTGAGGAGGGATGAAAGATCAAGTCAAAGCCTACCCTCCAGCTTGATTCAGCACAAAGTGTGCTCTGTACACTTTCTTTATGAGCACTCTGTTATGTTGGCGGTTACGGTCAGCGCTGGAAAAACTGAACCATCTCATTTCTTTAAAATGTGGACAGTTCTCAATTCAACTCTTTATTTCTGGGTTACAGTTTTTTCACGATTGCAAAGACGCATTTCTTGAAACCTTCCACCCTCTTCTCTAAACTGTAAACATCAAGTTCAATTTTCAAACTACATTCACAAAACTCAAAGTGTTCCCAAACAATCAAACCAGCACAACAAAACAGCTTCATCTGTGGTCAGAATCACACATTTTCAGAATTCACAGCCTGTAATCACAGCACCGATACTGAGCATTCATTACACACTACTTCAAAACATAGAACGAACAATATAAACGCAAAAGAATCTGCTGAGATTTGTGTTTTAGTCTTTATCCTGTGTCCCTCAGGCCACATGTGGGGGGAGAAATGTATAAAAGATATGCATTCACTGTATGTATTACATGGCTCATATGACATGTCTGTGGTGTGATTATAAACATAAGTTATGCATTTTTATCATGTAGCATAATTCTAAAATCTTAATATAATAAAAGAAATCTGTCTGTTGTCCAACTTGAAATATCAATGCTTTTCATATTTTCTTATCTATACACTTTTTACATTTTACACTTGGTCTACACTTAATAGGCCATTATTAAGAAGAATAAAACTGCTCAAAACCAGCAAAGGAAGAGGTGACTGACTTCTGATGAGTTGGGATGACTATGAGGAAGGCTGTGCAAATGCTCTAAACCAGGGGTGTCCAACTCCAAGCCTCAAGGCAGGTGTCCTGCAGGTTTTAGATGTGTCCTTGATCCAACACAGTTGATTTAAATGGCTAAATTACCTCCTCAACATATCTTGAAGTGGCCTGAGGCCTGGTATTGAACTAATCATTTGATTCTGGTGTGCTGGCCCAGGGTGATATCTAAAACCTGCAGGACACCGGCCCTCAAGGCCTGGAGTTGGACACCCCTGTCTAAACTATTCTGAGATGCTTACAGGTATAGTCTGGATATTTTGAAAAAACAAGTTCCAGTGCTTAAACACTACTGATAATGTAGTGATGATCTGTCGCGATTAGAACTATTTCAAATGCTGTCCCATAACTGCAAGAAAACTAGCAAGAGGCTTATTGTTCAGGCCAGAAAATGACTTCATCAGAACCACAGACCTCCAGCTTGCTAAACTTGGTTTGGAAAAAAGACATTAGTCTACACGGGCTGTGTGAAAGTAGAAAAAATGACTATTTACTACTTGTGTCACTTCAAGTCATCCATTGCTGTTGTAATTTTTTGATATCCTTTTAGAAATTTCCTTCTGCTGCAGTCACACTGCCCTCAGTCGTGTTTCATGCGTCCCTTTTGTGGCCAGGCTGGACATTGCAATTTTGAAGTTACTAAAATTGTTCAATTTGTCCACTAAGACCTCCAATTATACTGCAGAATTTTTTTTTCTTTTCCTGTCTCTCTCAGTCTGTGCTGCTGTGCTGTTTTCCAAGAAAAACTCATTCAGGAAACGTACGCTTGGAGTATTTTGTTGGATGACGAGTTACAAGCTGAATATGTGTTGCCAGCACAGTCTCGGTTCCTGACACAGTTCTTCTTGTTTGTGGCTCCATGCAATTTTTGTGGTCTTCTTAAAGTGCCTTGGTCATTACTGGTACACCTCAGTTCATAATTTGGCATATTAATAGTAGATCAACCCCAGATGTTTCCAACCTACTAATTTGGGCTGTGTGGTAAATTTGCCCTAAAGTATTTTTGCAATTTAGAAATGGGAAGTATGACTAACACACACAAAAAAAGTCATAATTTGCACAACTTTGCTTGTTTGATTGCTGATGAAATGTTGGTGCTCTTCATATGTTTTAGTGTTTTTTTTTTCCCTTTGCACATGTTGTGGTGTCAGCATGAGACACTAACAGCAATGCTGAAAGTTTGTTAGATAGCAGAGTTGTTTCACTCGATGTCAATATAAATTTCAACCTGCTATCTCTCCAGGGTTCGCAAGTTTAAGAGATTAAAAAGTGCTTTGGTACCTACAGCGGGGCAGGTGCACCATAACAAGTCACCCAAAGTGCTTATACATAACTTGTTTTAGAAGTAAGAAATGAATGTTTTTTTTTATGTAACTGTCCTGTCTCGGTTGTGTTACGGTGGAAGAATTAATTATCTTCCTGCACAAAGAAAAACTTGATGTTTCTCTTCTTTTATTTAGAACTAGGGAAAAATATACTGCCTGAGATGTAACAGAAGGCCTGTGTGTGTGAACTCGTCTGTGTGTCTCTCAGGTGGCTGTGACATTTGCAGTGGGGTCAGAGGTCGGCCTTCAGAGCAGCAGTGACTTCAGTCAGATGGGAAAACCTTTCCTAATGGGCACAGTGGCTCTGGGTAAGCTTCAGCTTTGTGCAATAAAGCTCACAGTCTTCCTTTTTTTTGTCTTCTTCTTTTTATCATTGTGTCTTTGTGGCCCTTTTCCAGTCTGTTGTACTGCAAAGGATGTTGAAGCTAATGACGGTCTGACTTTCCATTCCAGCTGCTACCAAAATTGGAATTTCATTACATGAACAGATCTCCTAAGAAATGAGAAAACAAGTTATTTAAATGGGCTTCAAGTGTAACCAAAGCATACCTTTGAACTCCTGGCAGAACCCCATCTTGTGGTTTCTCCCACAGTTTGCATGATCCTCAGACTGTATTATGAATACTTGGAGTAGATGTATCTATAAGACTTGTTCCTCTAATGCCATTTCCAAGGAAAATGTAAAGAAATCAGAGCCAGCTCGAAACTTTTGCCCAGTACTGCACCTGATGTGTGCAAAGCTACTGTTTGCACAGGCTGACTATTTGAATTCTGACTGATCATTTGACTTCACTGCTGTTTCACCACTTACTCTTGTCTCTCTTTACTGCAAAGATACACTGAAGAATGAGACTTCACAGACATAGCAACGTAAATAATAGTGAGCCAAGTCATATGTGCAACAGGGAATTGCTCATTTCAGTATAGCTGGGAAGACCTTACTTGATTCAGTTTTCCAGAAAATTGTGAAAGTGCAAATATCTCTTTCAATAGAGGAAATACAAAAGAAAAGCCTCTGGTCTTTTCAGATATAACAGTTGGCAGGGACGCCAAATCTACAGTTGCACCAAGTAGATCTTGTCAGCTCAATGTTATTCCCAGAATTTGGGAACAGAACCATAAAAATCACGAACCTTATCTAATTTAAATTTGGGCAATTTATTGTTCAAGGTCATCTTACAAACCAGGATGGTTATAATACTAGAAAACTATGAGGTGGGCCAGGATGAGCAGTTTTCAATAGTTTCAGTGGAAAAGTCCAGTTTTAAAGCACGAAAGCAGCTCATCAAATACGGGACAAAACCAGGAACATTTTTCGAGTTGTTCACCCTGATCTTTGTTCCCCGGAGTCGGACTGACGGGCATTTACTGTAGCGTCTTGAGTGATTTGCAGAACATTCAGAAGAATCAACGGGAACTGTGGTGTGTGCAGAGTGCCATCATGTGCTGACTCAGAGTGCTTTTAGGTTTGTTTTTTTTAACCCACACCAACACAGTCTGCTTGTCAGCTGCCGTATTCACCAGATTTGCCTCGCTGTGACTTTGTCCCAAGTGAAAATTTAGCTGGAGGATCGCCAATTTAACACGCTGGAGGAGACGCACGCAGGCATACTCGCATATCCTGCACATCCGAACAGAAGGGAAATATTCAGAATAGACACAACCAAAACAAAAACTGTTTCTCTATCACTTGTTCTTGTTTTTGTTTTGTTTTTTTCATTTTTTGTAATCTCTCTGTTCTACAGTCAAATGATACAAACAATAAAAGTGCTGGAAAAGTCAAACTTTCATCTTTACATCAAAGATTTTCTTTTTAAACAGGCGATTAAGAACATAAGAAGCACTGCTTCTGAAGTCCAGCCCTCGTCTAAATGCAGTTTTCTTGTTGCAGAGGTCCTATACATGATTGTTCGTTGTTTAAACTTGGGAACAAACATCTAGCGTCGACAGAGAATATCTTTAATTCCCTTTAGAATACGAATCTATTAAACTGTTTATAAATCTTCTTTAAAAATCTAGTGCACCAGCTAGTAATGGATCTGTGACGTCATGGTAGTCTGTGCTGATTTTTGCTCTTTGTGACCTCCATATGTCCAGTCTGCTCTTTTTCACTCTTTTCAACTTTTTCTTTTCATCCGTCTGTCTTCACTTTGTAACATTAAACCACAGACTGTACAGATGGATGATCCATCGCCATCTTCTCCTACTGTTCGAAGTGAGGAAGAAATAGAAATGAGCACTGCAATATTGGCTGTCATTTGAAACCAAAGTCTGTTAAGGAATTACTGGGAGATGGAGCCCAGACATCAAAGTCCTGCCTGCTGCCCGGCACAGATGTGTGTTGAACTTTGTGTAGTGCATCCATCAAATTCTGCACTACTACTACCTACTAGTTGTCCAGCCACCCAACGATATGTCTGCATAGACAGATTTTTGCCACTTCTCCACATCCCAGCTTGTTGTTAGAAGAGGAAGCCTGTGCCCATTTAGGACGCATGTTGGCAACACTTCTGGGAAGGCGTAATTTCATCCATCTTTATATACAGTGTTAAATATTCACAAAGCAATGACAAACTTTGAAGTACTTCAGCAATTTACATTTACACTACATTTTATGTTAAGCTTCTCCTTTCACAAAAACACATTTTCAGAGGATGAGTCAGTGTCTTCGGTTTCGCTGCACAGCCTTAAATATCAGACTAAAGTAAACAGAAGGTGGAATATCCCAAAATGCATTCTAACAAAAGTTAGAGCAAGCTCAGTCAGAACAACTGTTAAGACTCACTTAACAGATGGAGGTAGCTGGATGGAGAGTCGTGTGTGTGTGTGTGTGTGTGTGTGTCAGTGAGTGTGTGCGTTTGGGTACCAGCGAGTACTCTGACTTCCTGAAGTAACTGCAACACATCAGCTGTGGCAGGCTAAGGGGTGATTGCTCTGTTTCATTAGCATCTCTGTGACAGCTCTGACTGTACTTCCTACCCGCTTCCATTACTTCAGAGAGCCATTTGAACATGCAAACTGCCAGCTATGACAGCTGCTTTGCAGTTTGTCACTGCTAGTTGTGTGGAACAGTATACAGAACAACTTTAAATCATTTTCCCAAGATTAAAAATGGATTACTTTTTCTTCTGAAATCTGGTCAGGATTTTAAAAGCTTCTCAAACAACATTCAGACTATGCTGAAACTCTAAAACTACTCCCCCAAAACCAAGACTAATGCAGTGCAGCTCAGCAGGGTGGGACCTATTTCTCTGCTACCTTTGGAGACTGATTTCTCTAAATGGAATTTTACAGGGAGAAAGTGCCATGATATTGAGGAACTGAACTGCAAACAAGCAAGGAAACTTTTGCAGCTTGGTGACAGCGATTGATTTGGCTAATATAGAAACAAAATACCATAATTGCAAAGACAAATCTTCAGATCTTCAGAAATTAAGTTTTCCAAAAAATGGATCCAACATATCTGCTGCTTCTCATGATGAAATATTTAGTGAGCATAAGCCAATCACATAGCAGCTTTGGGAGCTGCTTGGGCTATCTGACATGGCCACGCCCCTTATAATGCAAACTAAGCCTTAATAAATGCTGTACAGCTGTCGTTAAATGTGAAGTTGAACCAAATATAGAACATAGTTTCTTTTACTGTAAAAAGTGCATTTTAAAATGGGAATCTAGAGGACCGGACTCACTTTTGGAACCAGAGGCCTCTGAATGAACTACAGCTTTTGACACTTTATATTTTCTGCTTAATTTTTGAGTTGCTTGAATTTAAACTAAAGTTTCTGACAAAAAAATGTTTAAAATGCTAATAAAAGAAGGTGGGATTCATGATACCAGTATTTCCATAATTTAGTTTTGCTTCCTTACTAAGTTAATACTGTTGGGATGTTTTTATTTCAAGCAGTGATATCTGGAAACCTATTTGGGTATTTTCTGTGCCTCCCTTCTCATATTGAATATCAACATTTTTGTGCTGAGGAACAGTAAAAAAGCCCACAGATTACAGACGGAGGTATCATATGAATGACGCGCTGCTCTGTTTTTGGTCTTGACAGGTGGGATTGTAAACGTGATGCCTCTGCTTTTCTCACAGATCTCACACAACAGAACACAGGTAAATCTAATCTTAGGACTGCACCTGGCACTACCCGCTGATCTGTGGACTCAGTGTACTGAATTCAGAAATGGCTTGGGAAGCACTCTGTTCGTATTCTTCAACATGAGTTGGCAGTAGAAAGAGAGAGCGAGAGACGGGCATCACTGTGAGAAATAAACTAGAATTTCGGAGAAGAATTAGGACTGAAAGGCTCTTACACAGGTGGTCAACCATATTATTATTCTACTGATGGCTCCTGGTATTAAGCTCCAGCACTGAAGCAGAAAGGTTTGACAACAAAGTGTTCCTTAGATTAACTAGATAATTGGAACATCTCAACTCCTTAATTAACGCTGATGCAAACAGTTCATGTAGAAATATTAAAGAAATATTAAGTTATTGTGAGACCTTACTCATCAAGCCTATTTTGCATCAGATAGAAGTGTTTGGAGTCGACCCACTGTCATAATCGGGACAAAAATTGCTCCATTATTTTATTCCTTTTAAAATCATTTCACAACACTAAGCTGTTTTACTCTGATTTTATGTTAATATATGACTTTGCATGCATCTAGATATTGGATGCACAGTAAGCTGGCCCCAGTACGGTCCAGACATATGCTTTGCAGCCCTGAAATTTTGAGATGTTACCTTCATGATGGTGCATTTGGAAATGCAGGTGTCTGGCACGCTCAGGTTGGACATTAAACAGCTTTGCCGGGCTTCCTACTACAAGGGTCATGTGCCAAATGGCATATAAGAAAAAAACAGTTAAACTCAATCGCTTAAATCAAATGTCGTATTTCCAGTATCTCCTATTGAGTGTTACGAGAGGAAGGCAAACTGCCTCCAGCCGGTCTCTCTGCTGTTTAAAAGGCATGCACTGCAGATTGTGGTGTATGCAGAATAACAGTCGGCTGAGAGTTTTGCCCACTTCCATACAGAATGAGGGGAAACTAGAGCCCAGGTCTCAAAATAAAGAATTCTTGATAGGTATTGTTTGTGGAAGGAAAAATTCAGGTTTCTTTTTCTGTATCTCACCATTTCTGATAGGCCACTAACCCTACCTGCAGGATGGGTCAGTCTTTATTGGTCAGGTCAGAAGTAATGCTGTTAGGTCACGGCTCTTTCCCAGCCACACAGTCTAGTCTTTTATTGACCAAGCTCCTGTCTCAGACTATCATCTGGACACATGCAAAAGCATTTATTAATCTAAATAAATAAGAGTAAAAGGGCTTAGTGATTAACAAAAAATAACATGAGAAAATCTATTCATTTACTACACGTCTAGAAAACCAGGTAAAGAAGATGCAGATTGATTGCTTTTTCCATTCTTCATAAGTGGAGATATGCCATATAACTTTGTTGCCATTCCAAAATCCTCCAATTGAAAATATACATAAAGACAGAATAGAAACACACTTGCTACTCTGAGATGAAAAAGTATCCTGATGTAAATATCTTCATATCACAGGGTTCCTGACTACAGGCCTGCATTTTGCTGCCGTAATGTTTCAAAGCCATCAGAATAACATGGAATCGTTCATATAACCAAGCACCTGCATGACTACAGAGGCTAGCATCTAAGTTGGAGTCATATAAAAAATATATATAAAAATATATAACTAACAATATTTTTGTTTTATAAAAGATCATATTGAAGGAGAAAATTAAAAAATATAAAGGTATATACATTTTTGAAGCATTTATACTGTGTTTCAACCTAAAATAACTACATTTTTAGAAATGCATGTATGGGGAAAAAAATGTCATTTACTAAAATAGTTACAGTTATGCCAGAGGTGTGTATCAGCTTTTTTAAGCATGTTATTTATAAAATCTGCCCCTTCTTAATTCATGGGTGGCAATTACATGGTTACATGCAGTTGTTATTACATGATATTTACAGTTACAGTTAAATACCTTTTAAATCAGGCCAAAAAAAGGTTTTAAAAATGAAAAATGAAGTGAGGTTTTATAACAATAGGTCAATTTAAATCCAAACGAGAAGTTCTTAACCATGAGGACAGTACTAGGTAATTAAATTGTTATTTCTTGTGATACAGTAAAACTGCCATGTCACATCCACGGCCCATATGCAAAGAGTCAGACCCACAAAGATGCTCTCTCTCTGCCACTGATCAGTTTGCCTAAGCATCATTTAGATGAAGTGCACGACTGGAATAGTAGCAACTAAGTTTGCTTTTGAGGAACTCTGTATTATCACCTGTGCAGTTATGTGATTACGTAGTGCAATTGTTCCACAATGTTCTCCTGTTACGCTGCTTGAGCCGGATGTTGGTTATCGTGTTCTCTTGTCTTCATCTTTAGATCCTGTGGTTTCGGAGAGCAGTGATTGGAGGTCTGACAACCTGCACTGTGCTCAACATCCTCTGGTGAGCACTTTACTTGTTATTTGATCTTTGATTCTTTATTCCTTTCTAGATATTGGTTGGCACAGTTTTATCATGGTTAGAACTGTGGTCTGAAAAAGGAAGTTTTTCAGGTGCTGTGGTTTCCATTCTTACATGTATGCCAGGTTAATTGAGGATTCTAAGTTGACTGTATGTAGGCCTCTCTCTTAGCTCTGTGATGGACTGGCATCCAGTCCAGGCTCCAGGGTTCCTTGACTTGAGCACAATGTCAGTTGGGATATGGTCCAGCCATACTGCAACCTTGGAAGAATAAGAGATTAACAAAGAAGCATGGATAGACTTTCCAGTCAGTTAAGAGTTATAAGCTATAGCTCTATTTATATTTAATTATCCTTTAGCTCCTTCCCTTTCTTTTGCAGTCTATGTGGAAATAAATTGCTTTTTCAGTACTTACTAAAATGTAAGGCAAGCAATTGGCACTTTTGCTGCTTCTTAACCATTAACTATAGAAATTCTCTTCCCCCAGAAGACCATCTGGTGTATTATCACCCAGAGAGCACAACAGGGTGCTGGACTATTTCTGTGAACAATGACCACAACCTGCCCACAACCTACTCTCAACCTGGTTGAGGGTCAGGTACTATTGAGGAAGGAAACTGTGCAGGATCTTTTAGGCACAATCATCATTAAGCTTAAAGTCTTTGTCGTTTATTATAATTTTGCTAGTAGTTATAGCAAATAAGCTTTTACTGGGTAATTCCGCATAGGTAAGGAATAAGTGGCTGCAAGGCTGTCTTCCTAAGAAAGAATGAAATAGTTCAGAAAGAATGATTTAAGCCATATGTCAAATGTCAACTGTTAAAGCTGTATACGATCCAGTATGATTGACATAGGGTATTATGGCCAGATGGTCACATATGACCACTTCAGGGTCACATATGCTGGCTCTGAAGGTGGGATCCTCTGAGACCTTCAGCAGACGTTTGAAGAGAGCAAAGAGTAAAAGCAGCAGCAGCAAGGACGGTGGCCCAGAGTTTAAGAAGGCCATCTGGCAAAATAACCATCCACAAAGGACTCGAAATGCACCAGAGAGCACAGACCCTTCACTGTCTATTGAACCCCCACTTTGCAGCTGAAGAGTCAGTTGCATTTAGGAAGAATGTTTAGTGTGCCCTTTCCTTCTCGCGACAGAGAAACAAGCCTCAACAGGATGGAGTTTGGAGTCACACTGCACCTGGTGTATATTTAAACTGGTATTTAACTTCCCTCTACTCAGTAAATAAGTCTGTAAACATAGTGAGTAATGTAGGCAGCCACTGCGTGGTTAATTTTGTTCTTCACCCAGCACAACAGAAATATATTCTCCCAGAGTATTACCTGAGGAAATCTGGTCGTATCTCACAGTGTGTGTCATCCCGTCCATTTGTGAAAAAAGTCAACTTTTTATTAAGGGGAAAAAATGGAGAAATTTAAAGGAGCACTCTGCCAATTTCATTTTATCTGCTTGCCTTATGGGCAGTCTAGGATATAACTAAGCACTGCTGTAAAGGTCAGGATACTCCATCTCTCCCTATTGTTTTTTTAAATCTGCCTCTCAGGCTCATTTCTGTCCTCTTTTCTTCTATGTTTCAGTGCTTGATCGTATCTCCTTTAACGGCACATTTTCATGTGTGCTGGCACTACAGCTTAAAACAAAGTGAGGCGGGTATGCACGGCGCAAAATCAATCAAATCTGGAAATTCCGATCTGGAAATAATTGGGTTTGGCAAGGCGAACACATGTGAAACGTAAGCAAATACAACGTATCACTGCTGTATGAGATGCTCTCTGCACACCCATGACAAATTTCACTGAGCTACAACCCACAATTGGTTGTATCTGACCTTTGGTGTACTTTACTGATCGGCTTCTGGCAAAACAACTTGCAGCAGCTCCACACAATAAGTCTCTCTCCTCTGGGATGCTTCTCTAAGATTTATGAGCTTCAGGCAGAATTTTTTTTCTTTTCTTTTTTTTTTATTCTTGTTGTTTTGTGTTCAAGCTATACACCAGAATCTGAAAGCAGTGTTGCGTGGCAAAATAATGCTCTATAATAACAGGTTTTTCACAGAGGGGCTCCATTTATTGAATCATGATAACATTTCAGAGTTATTTCAAACAGGTTTGCTTTTCCTTCCACATATATAGATCCCTTTGGTCAACACACGTGCGCTGCAAAAAACCTAAACTCAGCTTATACCTTTAGTTTTATAAATGCACTTTTACAGACCTATAGCACCTCAGCTAAGTGTTATACTTCACATGGGTACATCAGGCCTTTACATTATTTTCCGGTCGCTGCAGGTTACAGAATGCATTGTTGAACAGACAAACAAGCATTTTCATGCAGCACTGAGGTTATTTCCTCCACCGTGTTGACTTAGTATGACTCGCAGTAGACCCGAGTGAGAGGAAATGCACGGTAAGAGAGTTTGCTAATGCTGATTGTTTGCAGCACTGCAAATCTTCATGCCAAGAGACTATGTTTTAAGCGTGTGATCCCAGTTTAGTGCAGCCATTACTGGAGGTCACCACCCAACAATGTTTCTTTTGCCTACAGTCCTCTTACTGATGGGAAATAAGTCACACTGAGATTACTTTATGCAGTCTGAGGGCCTTTCTCACAGAGGTAAAGTAAATTTATTTGGTCCTTTTGCGAGAGTTCAGCTTCAGTTTGTCATGGAAAATTGTGTTCTTGAGCAGTACTATAAAACAGCTCTGACACATCAGGGCATCGACACAGCGATACAGTGCACGGTGTTATCAGGCATGGGGACATTTGCAGTGTGTCCATCAGGCTGTGGTATCAGGATTGCTCTGGTCAGCCCACGTATGCTCAATCTGATCCGGGCAATGCGGAGGCGAGGCCAAATTTGGGGCTCGGTCTGATCGAGCTGTAATCCTGAGACATTTTTGTAGTGTAACTGGGTGCGTTGTCCTGCCAAAAGATGCCACTGCAGTCCGACTGTGCCTTTGCCGAGGGATGACACTTGGTATCTTACTGTATCAGTGACATTAATCAACACACACATATATATATTGCATCTCAAACATTAGGAATATTGTGAAAGGAGGTTTTTTTTGCATTTTTTGCATTTTTTACACAAAAACTAACACATACGAGCCATTTTAGTTGTAACTTCCTAGGACCTGACATCACAGTTTGGTTTGTCTAGACCAGCGGTCTCCAACCTGTTTTGCGCCACGGACCGGTTTATGCCCGACAATATTTTTCATGGACCGGCCTTTAATGTGTCGCGGATAAATACAACAAAATAAAACTAGTACCGGTACCGAAAAAAATAAGATTTATTCATAACACACGTGAAAAGGCCCAGGAAAACAGAGTTAACGATAACAAAATAACGCTGAAAACCAAACATTTCACACCTGAGCCTCAACTCTCGCGGCCCGGTACCAAACGACTCATGGACCGGTATACCGGTCCGAGGCCCAGGGGTTGGGGACTGCTGGTCTAGACCAAAATACTAAATTTAGCTCTACAAGGGCCTGATATTCACTTACAAGGATGTTATACTGCCACTGTTCTAATGAAATTAAAAGAAATGTCCTCATATGTCATTTTTCTCAAAAACAAAAATCAGGTAAAAAATGAAAATCTGGTAAGTCTTTGTTTTTACATTCATCAGGTCCCAATCAGTTAAGTTAGGTTGCTATTTACAGTATAGGTATTATGTATCTGTCTAGTTTTGTACATGCAACTACACTCATGGGAAAGACTGCAGGCATAGTTATTCAGATAATGAGCATCGACACCCTCCGTGAGAAGGGTAAGCAGCGGAGGGTCATTGCTGAAAAGCCTGACTGTTTGCAAAGCGCTGCGTCGAGGTGCATTAATGGAAAGTTAAGAGGAAGGTAAAAAGATGCAAAAGCTCTCGAGGTTCCAGGATGACTGGAACTTGGAGAGAATTCTCAATTAAGTGAATGCAGTAATTTGTGTCCTTGCTTATGGTGCCACGGGGTGGCTGTAGTCAGGAGGTAGGGCAGGTCATCTGCTAATCGTAACGTTGGTGGTTCAGTCCCTGGATGCTCCAATCTGCATACTAAATGTCCATGGATAAGATACTAAACCCAACTTGCTCTCCAGATGCATCCATGAAAGTGTGAATGTTAAGCACAAAAATATGTATGAACGAGGCATATAAACTGCTTTGAATGCTCCAGGGGAGTAAAAAACCACTCTATAAGAATCAGTCCATTTGCCCTTTAGTTTTAGAAAACGTATTGGACAAATTAACAGTTTCCATTTAGAGACAATGGAACAAACTCTGCAGTCATTTTACTTTGAAACAGATGAAATGCTACAGCAAAGATAGCGTTTTGCAAAACAAAGTTTTCAGTTTAAATGATTTGTCTCCTTTCAGGTGTGTAGCTAACTCTTTTTTGCAGTTTCTCCCACACTGAAATGAGATCTGGATAAATCATTGCCTCAAACTGATGTGGGACTTAGAAAAACAAATTAACTGAACGCGTCCTTTAAAAAGAGTTATTGCTTTCTTTAAATCCCATATGTCACTATGCTGCTGAAGGTTTAAACATTTCCCAGTATTTGAAAGCTCAGCTGGAGCTGAACTCAAAAGTTAATGTAATGCCCATGAATTGACCTTATTTGTTTCTTAAAAGCTTAAAGTCTACTCCTCTTGGTTACTATAAGTTGTGTGGTGGTAAAACGCTCTTTTACTGCACGAATGCAAATCTGCTCTCTCCCCTTTGCTCTCTTTCACCACTCTCACTTATCACACTACTTCTTTTGGGGGTCCTGTTCCTGCTTGACGTCCTGGTAAGCAATTTCCTCTGCCTCCATTTTTCAGACCATAATTTTGATTGATAATTATCGTTGGGGACATAATTCTGTTGAGCCACCCTGCAGAGTGAAAGACTAGTAGAATAAAATAGAAATGGTGTGTTGTTGGGTGCATTCGAGCGTAGCCACAACAAATGAATGGATAAATCTCTCAGAG